ACGACTATATAAAACCACTCCGTCCTATCCAACGCCGCGAACTCACGGGCGCAGATGCTGAGGCTGAGGCGTCGCAGATGGTGTCTGATATGTTCGTCATCCTAAGAGGCGCTTTGGCCTGCGCCCTAATTGCACAAGTATGGCTAATGGTGTATGTTGTATCTGCACAGCGCGTCCAAGAACCGACCTATATGCAAGTGCGACGACTTCGCGCGATTACCAGGATGGCCTAGGCCTGCCCAAAGAAGATCACTTATACAGCGATGGCACCAACTGGCGAGGTATACCTGCACAGCGCGTCCGGCTATTGACGCTTTCGCGGCCCTGCCGACGATGAAGTCAAATATTATGGTATTCGCGGGGCAAATCTGCTACGGCGTGGGCGCGCGCATGCTGGTAAACCTGTCGTCCATCTTGCCCACGCGTACTGCAAGTCTCACCGCTTGCAGGCCCGCTCTAGCTATTCGGCTGAAGCGCTAGCAGCACCCCCCAACTTGGAGGACTTCGATTCCACGATCGTCACGCCGCACGAACTAAATGCAGGGCCGCTGACACCGCTCACTTGAATAACATTCTTGACATGGGCGGCCCCAGCACCAAGGTCACCCTGACGATTGATGCGGAATCTGCCGTTCAACTCCTTGCCAACTAAAGAACTCAAGAAGCCGACTGAATGTACATCAGTTGGATACGACAGATGATGGAGCGCGGTATCGTGCATAGCGTGCAGTGGTGTGACACCCAGGGCATGACCGCAGATGGTCACACCGAGGAGAGCATTGATCGGGATATTGTCCTAAAGGTCATGGACGGGATGCGATCTTCCAAGCATGACTTGAAGCGACGTACTCCATACAGGGCTGTCCAGACGAGAACACTTAAGCCGCCCACGGAATACTGAGATGCAGGGTAAGCCCGCCGCGGTCTAGAATCGCGTGCTGTTGCTTTTCCTTGTGCTGTAGCTGTTTCACCAAATTCGGCTGGACGCGCACTCACGCTTCGTCTCCTCCCCTCCAAGTTTGAAGGAGGAGGGGCACAGGCGAGAAGTGCGAACGTTTCTCCGCGGCCATTTTGGCTCAAGCGTCCGGTCGCCAATATGACCGTGTCGCGCCGCGACACGGTACCGAGCATCGACGCGGAAAAAGTCCCACCGTTTACTCTTGAGCTGTTACCCTCTTGCCGCTTACGCGGTCATTTTTTTTTTTTTTTTGTTTTTTGCCATATCGCTACCGCGATACTACCGACCAGGTAAGAAGTGGCTACGGCTAAGACGCAGTATCTTGTCAGGCCTACCACCTCATTTTAAACTCTGGAAGGCATCTTGGGGCCATCTTAGCTGTCTTGGAGGCCATCTTGGCCGTCTTGGGGGCATCTTGGAGGCCATCTTGGGCCAACGGTGGTTATCTTGGAGGCCACCCTGGGGCGTCTTGGAAGACTTTTTGCTGACGTTCAGCGCGATCGGTCCTTTTCGGGTGGCCAGGCCGAAGCCCCAGGGGAGAGTTCGTTTTGGAAAATTAGCTACAACCAAAACGTACAAAAGTCCAGCACGCCCTGTCCCCTGTGGCAAAACCATAGGGGGGCGGCGGATCGAAGACGCCTGCGGCGAATCACCGCCGCCCTCTGCCTCTTAGCATCACCAATGTGGCCGAGCGTTGTGGCAAGAACTCTGCCAAGCTATCGGGCCATGTGTTCCCCCAGCCCTTGTAGAAATCCTTCGGGGGACGCTTGGGGGAATACGGCGGGGAAGATCAGGAGGAGGAGGAGGCGGAGGAGGAGGAAGATTAGGAGAAGGAGGACGGGGAGGAGGAGGAGGAGGAGGAGGAGGAGGAGGAGGAGGAGGAGGAGGAGGAGGAGGAGGAGGAGGAGGAGGAGGAGGAGGAGGAGGAGGAGGAGGAGGAGGAGGAGGAGGAGGAGGAGGAGGAGGAGGAGGAGAAGGAGGGGGCATCTTGGGAGCCGCTGGGGGCACTCTTGGAGCCTCCTGGGAGCTTCCTGCGAGCCTATGGAGGTGTCTTGGGGGCCTCCTTGGGCCTCGTGGGGTGCTTGGGGGGCTTCTCGGGGGCCTCTTTGGCACTTGCCCGTCTGACGTCGTCGGAAGCTGTCTTGGGGGCCTCTCTGGGCAGACTTGCCCTCTTGGGGTGCTCCAGGGCCATCTTGGGCGTCTTCGAGGCCTGTTGGGCCGTCTTGGGGGCGCTCTTGGGGCCGTCTTCGGGGCCTCTTGGGCCGTTCAGGGGCCATCCTGGAAGGCCTCCTGGGTGATCTTGGGGCGATCTTTGGGGGCTCTTGGGCCGTCTCGGGCCGTCAGAAGATCGACAAGACTCAAATGCCCAAGTCCTTCGAACATCTGAGGACAATCAATAATTTTGGCCTCTTCGGGCCTTCCTGGAGGCCCTCTTGGGGGCCTCTTGGGCCGTCTTGCAGACCTCTTTGGTGCCTCTTGGGGGCCTCTTGGGCCATCTTCGAACCATCATGGCCGTCTTGATGGACTCTTGGCCCGTCGGACGCCGTCGGAAGCCGTCTTGAGAGCCTCTTTGGGCCAACTTTGGTCCTCTTGGGGTGCTCCAGGGCCGCCTTGGAAGGCCATCTTGGGCGTCTTGCAGGCCTCTTGGGCCGTCTTGGGGCCTTCTTGGGACCGTCTTGGGTGCCTCTTGGGCCGTTCTGGGGCCATCTTGGACGCCTCTTGGGCGATCTTGGGGCGTGTCCTTCGGCGGCTCTTGGGCCGTCTCGGGCCGTCGGAGCACCAAAGAGAAGCAAATGCCCAAATCTGTCAAACACTAATGGGCAATCTATGAGTTTGGCCTCTTCGGGCCTTCCTGGAGGCCCTCTTGGGGGCCTCTTGGGCCGTCTTGGGGTGCTCCAGGGTTGTCTGGGGCCATCTTGGAGCCATCTTGGGCTGTCTTGGTGGCCTCCTGGTCCGTCTGACGCTGTCGGAATCCGTCTTGAGGGCCTCGGGCGGTCTTGGAGCCCTCTTGGGGCCGTCTTGGGGGCCGTCTTGGGGGCCCCCTGGGCCGTTCTGGGGCCATCGTGAAGGCCACTTGGGCGATCTTTGGGGACTCTTGGGCAGTCTCGGGCCGTCGGAGGAGCAAAGAGAAGCAAACGCCAAAGCCCTTCGAAAACCAAAATAATATCAATGATTTTGGCCTCTTCGAGCCTTCCTAGAGGCCCTCTTGGCGGCCTCTGGGGCCGTCTTGGAGGCTTCTTGGAGGCGTCTTGGGCCGTCTTGGGCTATCCCAAACCGTCTTGAGTGCATCTTGGACCGTCTTGGTGGCATCTTGGGACCATCTTAGCCCTCTTGGAGGCCATCTTGGCCATCTTGGAGGCATCTTGGAGGCCATCTTGGCGGTCTTGTTGGCCATCTTGAGCCGTTTTGGGAGATTTTTTCCGGGAATTGGGCGCCGTCTGGGTGGCTGGCGAGACCTCCTCCTCCTCCTCCTCCTCCTCCTCCTCCTCTTCCTGTTTCTTCCTCCTCCCTCCTCCTCCCTCCTGCTTCCTCCTTCCCTCCCTTGGCATGGCATTGGCATGCGTTGGTATGCATTGGCATGATTTGGCATGTGTTGGTATGCATTGGCATGCATTGGCATGCATTGGCATGCGTTGGCATGCGTTGGCATGCATTGGCATACGATGGTATGCATTGGCAGCCCTCCCCGCGTGCTACCCCTAACCTGGGCAGCCATTTCGTCCTTGTGGGGGCTGCTAGCCAGGGCGATCCCTCGCTAGCAACCCCTACTAACAGGCTGCGAGTTGGGGTGCAACCCAAGCAGACCTGGCAGTTTGGTCAGTGATCCCTCCCTCCCCCCCTCCTTCCCTCCCTCCCTCCCTCCCTCCCTCCCTCCCTCAACGCCCAAACTGGAAGGACTCAGCACGCCGGGCACCCCTGTGGCAATCCAGCAGGGGGCGGCAGATCCTTGTGGCCTGCGGCCCATCCCGCCACCGTGCCTGGGTTGTGGGTCTGAGGCCTCTCGTATGTGTTTGGGTGTCTTGGGGAGCCTCTCGGGGGCCTCTTGGAGGTGGTTTGGGCGCCTCTTAGGGGTCTCTTGGGGCCTCGTGGGGTATCGTGGCGGCCTCTTGGGCGCCTCTTGGGCGCCTCTTGGGGCCTCTTGGGGCCTCTTGGCGGCCTCTTGGGGCCTCCAAGAGGCTTCTCGGGGCACAAATATAGAATGTTCGGTTCGTGGTTCCCTGCTTGGGCCCCTCTTCGGGCCGTCTTGGGGCTCCTTGGGCCGTCTTGAGCGCTTCTTGGGCCATCTTGGAGCCCTCTTGGGCAGTCTTGGGGCCCTCTTGGAGGCGTCTTGGGCTGTCTTGGGGCGGTTTTGGGAGCTTTTTGAGCCGCCTTGGAGTGTTGGAAAGGCGAAAATGCGAGAAGGCCAAAATCCTTCAAACACTTTTGTATCAAATGTACGGTTTTGGCCTCTTGGGACTCTCGGGAGGCCTCTTGGAGCGCTCTTGGGGCCTCTTTGGGCCCTCTTTGGTCGTCTTGGAACCATCTTCGGGGTCTTGGGGCACTCGTGGTTTCGGCAATGCGAATACGACGCACGTTGCGAAAGTGAATGGCTTCGGGGACTCGAGTATTGCGTAGTTTAGAAGGGTTTGTTGCCTCGGAGACGCAAGAAATATTTAATCTACGACGTTTTGTGGCCTCGGGGACGCGAACATTGTTAGATTGGCCTCGGGGGCGCGAATCTCACGTATGTTTACATGTCCCACGCCCCCCCGGGGATTCAGAGAACGCGATCCGGACGTGGTAAATTGCTGGTTTGGGGCTCCCCCCCCTCGCGCGGACATCAACAGTTTACAGTGGGAAGCAGAAAGCAGGACTGTAACATTGGAGACTTGAGACTGCAACTGGTGCTGAGAGTAGCACGCTTCGCCCTGCAGCCTGGCTGGTGGCCCCACAAGGGGGCCATTGGATCTATCGGTGCTTCGGTTCAGGCTGGCGATGGGCCTTCATTCTGATCCGATCTGATCCCGCGCTCCCACAACCTCCCCCCTGGGTCTCGCGAGAGGCCACCAGCAAGGCGCAGCACCGGAGGCTCGGGCAGATGCGGCTCGAGCTGACAGGCGCCCTGGGGGTGGGCGTTGCTAATGTTGAGTCGGGCCTTTCCCTCTGCAGGAGGAATCTTCCAAAATAGTTTTAGAAATAGTCTGGGGACGATGTTTGGATTATTGTTTGCTATTTTGGACTATTTTCGACTATGTTTTTTTGCCCAAAATCTGCTTGTAAGGGGACGATTTCAGGATTATTGTTTTCGCTATTTACCTAACAGCGAAGACTGGTAGGTTTCTAGTGGGGTCAAAAGAGAGCAGCAGATCACTCCACAGGGGGGTCCGGGCAGGTGTTGGGAGTTGCCGGGCGGGTTGTGTCCACCTCGTTTTTCACCAACAGTCACACACTTCGTGCTCTTCGAGTTCCCAGAACTCCATTCCCAGGCTCATTCTGAATACCCGGATGCAACAGTCACACACTTCGTGCTCTTCGAGATCCCAGAACGCCATTCCCGGGCCACATTCTGGAGGGCCGGATGCAACAGTCACACACTTCGTGCTCTTCGAGTTCCCAGAACTCCATTCCCGGGCCACATTCTGGAGGGCCGGATGCAACAGTCACACACTTCGTGCTCTTCGAGTTCCCAGAACTCCATTCCCGGGCCACATTTTGGATGCCCGGAGCCAACTGTAGGCCACTTCGTGCTCTTCGAGTTCCCAGAACTCCATTCCCGGGCCACATTTTGAATGCCCGGAGCCAACTGTAGGCCACTTCGTGCTCTTCGAGTTCCCAGAACTCCATTCCCGGGCCACATTTTGAATGCCCGTAGCCAACTGTAGGCAACTTCGTGCTCTTTCGACTTCCCAGAACTCCCATTCCTGGGCCACATTTTCAGCAGGGGCAAGAGCACGACGAGGAGGAGGACGAGCAAAGACCAGGAGGACGAGGACGAGCAGGAGCAGGACGAGGAGCAGGAGGAGCAGGAGAAGAAGGACGAGCAGGAGGAGGAGGAGGACGAGCAGGAGGAGGAGGACGACCAGGAGGAGGAGGACGACCAGGAAGAGGAGGAGGAGGAGGAGGAGGGGAGGGGGAGGAGTACCAGGAGGAGGAGGAGGAGGAGGAGGAGGAGGAGGAGGAGGAGGAAGAGGAGGAGGAGGACGAGGAGGAGGAGGAGGAGGAGGACGAGGAGGAGGAGGGGGGGGGAGAGCACCAGGTGGAGGAGAACGAGGACCACCAGGAGGAGGAGGAGGAGGAGGAGGAGGAGGAGGAGGAGGAGAGAACACCAGGAGGAGGAGGACGAGCAAGACGAGGAGGACGAGAACGAGGACGACCAGGAAGAGGAGGAGGAGGAGGAGGAGGAGGGGAGGGGGAGGACTACCAGGAGGAGGAGGAGGAGGAGGAGGAGGAGGAGGAGGAGGAAGAGGAGGAGGAGGACGAGGAGGAGGAGGAGGAGGACGAGGAGGAGGAGGGGGGGGGAGAGCACCAGGAGGAGGAGAACGAGGACCACCAGGCGGAGGAGGAGGAGGAGGAGGAGGAGGAGGAGGAGGAGGAGGAGAGAGCACCAGGAGGAGGAGGACGAGCAAGACGAGGAGGACGAGAACGAGGACGAGCAGGAGGAAGAGGAGGAGGAGGAGGAGGAGGAGCAGGAGGAGCAGGAGAAAGAGGAGGAGGAGGAGGAGGAGGCAGGCTGAGGCTGAGGCTGTGACTGCGACTGCCGTTGCCGCTGCGACTGTCATCGCGAATGCGACTACGACTGCGAGAACAGCAGAATTCGACAACTGGATTTTCATTTGAATCTTAAGGGGAATGCTTTCAGATATGCTTCTACACATCGCTGTTAGGTTGCTTTGCCGGGATAATTACCTAACAGCGAAGACTGATAGGTTTCTAGTAGTGTCAAAAGAGCTCACAGATCACTCCACAGGGGGGTCCGGGCAGGTGTTGGGGCGTTTCCGGGCGGCATGAGCCGGGCTCGTTTTTCACCAACAATCACACACTTCGTGCTCTTCGCCTTCCCAGAACTCCATTCCCAGGCCACATTCTGGGGGCCGGATGCAACTGTAGGCCACTTCGTGCTCTTCGACATCCCAGAACGCCATTCCCGGGCCACATTCTGGATGCCCGGATGCAACTGTAGGCCACTTCGTGCTCTTCGACATCCCAGAACGCCATTCCCGGGCCACATTCTGGATGCCCGGAGCCAACTGTAGGCCACTTCGTGCTCTTCGATTTCCCAGAACTCCATTCCCGGGCCACATTTTGGATGCCCGGAGCCAACTGTAAGCCACTTCGTGCTCTTCCATTTCCCAGAACTCCATTCCCGGGCCACATTTTGAATGCCCGGAGCCAACTGTAGGCCACTTCGTGCTCTTCGAGTTCCCAAAACTCCCATTCCTGGGCTACATTTTCAGCAGGGGCAAGAGCACGACGAGGGGGAGGACGAGCAAGACCAGGAGGACGAGGACGAGCAGGAGCAGGACGAGGGGCAGGAGAAGCAGGAGAAGAAGGACGAGCAGGAGGAGGAGGAGGACGAGCAGGAGGAGGAGGACGACCAGGAGGAGGAGGACGACCAGGAAGAGGAGGAGGAGGAGGAGGAGGGGAGGGGGAGGAGTACCAGGATGAGGAGGAGGAGGAGGAGGAGGAGGAGGAGGAGGAGGAGGAGGAGGAGGAGGAGGAGGAGGAGGAGGAGGAGGAGGAGGAGGAGGAGGAGGAGGGTAGGAGGAGGAGGAGGAGGAGGAGGAGGAGGAGGAGGAGGAGGGGGGGGGAGAGCACCAAGAGGAGGAGAACGAGGACCACCAGGAGGAGGAGGAGGAGGAGGAGGAGGAGGAGGAGGAGGAGGAGGAGGAGGAGGAGGAGGAGGAGGAGGAGGAGGGGGAGAGAACATCACGAGGAGGAGGACGAGCAAGACGAGGAGGACGAGAACGAGGGCGACCAGGAAGAGGAGGAGGAGGAGGAGGAGGGGAGGGGGAGGACTACCAGGAGGAGGATGAGGAAGAGGAGGAGAAGGAGGAGGAGGAGGAGGAGAAGGAGGAGGAGGAGGTTATCCCGGCAAAGCAACCTAACAGCCATGTGTAGGAGCATATCTGGCAGCATTCCCTCAGCCTGCATCAGCCTCAGCCTCAGCACGAAGCGACCCAGCTAGAAGGACAAAGCGCTGAATGTACACCGATGTGTTCGACGACTGCGTATGTAATGATGTGACGATATAGAGACTGAGCCCTTCGTGAATGTCTACATGTTTTTCTGACGCCTACAAACGGCGCTGACGTGTGTGAGAAAATTGTCCGCGCAGCAAAAGCCGGCGAAGCGTGCGGGAGCTCGCATGCTGAGACAGACTACGTCTGCAGACCGCCAGCTGCAAAAGCTTGCGAGCGGCTCTTGGAAGATGTTTACGGAACGGAGCTACGGAGCTCACCGCAGGAACTCGCATACTGAAAAGGAATGCATCGAAACCGCACGCTGCGAACCCTGCAGGCTGAGAAGCACCGCAGGACGTCGCATGCTGAAAAGCACTTGTACTGCAGAGCGCTAGCATTCCATCTCGGGCTCGGACCCCCCCGTCCTGATCCAGAACGTGTCCGCGACACGTGCAGGCTCACCGCGCACAGCTGCACACGAGCGCAGGCTGAGAAGCACCACGCGCATGCAGGCTGAGAAGCACCACGCGAATGCAGACGGACAGACTGAACAGGACCGCCACAACGCAACCTGCATCTCATGACTCCTCAAGCTCGCGCAGGCCATCCCAGTTGCTGTCGGGCCTTCGCGCAAGCGATCTTCGTCGCGGCAATCTTGTCCGTGAAGAGCTCGGCAAAGGCCGTGGCGATCTGTTCCGGGGGGCCGGATTCGATGATGTTCCGGTCAGGCAAGCCGTGGCTCAAGAGTTGGTTGAAGCTTCTGGGGCGCGACAGGCTGACGTAGTAGGCAAGCCAAATGGACTCCTTCTTGAGTCCAGGCGGAAACGTCCAGTGCACGATGAAGCCTGGGTCCGTCGTCTTGCCCTGGACGCCATGCAGAGTCCCCTGCTTTTTGGGCAGCACGGTCAACTGCGTCCTGGACACCGCGATGGCCGGGCCACCTGTCTTCGCTTTGAACTTCCAGGGGCGCGCCTGCGGGGTGATCGCGAGCACTCCGCGCAGGTCGGGGCCGGCAGGCTGAGAAGCACTGTTAGCTGTCACCGGCGCGGCCTTCAAGAAAAGTTCATCGCTGTCATCGATCTTGACATAGACGGCCTTTGGCATGTAGTAGAGTACGACCACGCCGTCCGAGACAATGGACGGGCGGCCCTCCACCGGAGGCTCCAGAGCGTGCAGCTCTATGCCTACCACTTTGCCTGGCGCGCCACGGACATACTTCGGCGGCAAGACGGATTCTGTCAGGATGACCTCCATGCCAACGAAGAGCGGCAGCAGCCCCGGCATTTTTGCGGTAGCGCCGATGTTGGGCTCCGCGCGCATCTCGTCGTAATCAGGCTTCGCGAGGCGCGCAGCTGGTCTGTCGATTGCTGGGACGTAAAAGAGCAGCTGGCCAGCATCGTGCGCATCAAGCTTGGCCTGTGCATGCATGGCGTAAGAGACGATGCGCCACTCATAGGCCGACTCGTACCAGCCTCGTGCTGCACGCAACCGAGGGTCCCACTCCGGCAGCCAACAAGGAGGAGAGACGGCGGCAGCCAACAAGGAGGTCGACTACCTGAGCACGAAGATGGCTAAGTACGTCAAGCCGGAGCTGTACGACGATACCGATGGGAACGATAAGATATCTTCCTGGCCAGTGGAGGCGTACAACTACGTGGGCGAGTTTTTACCTAACAGCGAAGACTGATAGGTTTCTAGTTGACTCAAAAGAGCTCACAGATCACTCCACAGGGGGGTCCGGGCAGGTGTTGGGAGTTGCCGGGCGGCAGGTGCCGGGCTCGTTTTTCGCCAACAGTCACACACTTCGTGCTCTTCGATTTCCCAGAACTCCATTCCCAGGCCACATTCTGTAGGGCCGAATGCAACAGTCACACACTTCGTGCTCTTCGAGTTCCCAGAACTCCATTCCCGGGCCAC